TCTGTTGTGATGCGCCTACTTTTGGGATGACCCTTCTTGTTCCTTCGCATTTGGTCATTGTGCCAAACTATATCGCCGTTGTATTCAGGCCAATAATCCGGGTTTGCCACCAAAGGAAAGTTGTTGTTGTAAACAGTGAGCAACGTTTCAGATTTGTAAACGTTTGACAGCAGTTGAAGCGCGTCTTGATGGGTATGAGCACAAGCGACAATGACATGAGAGCAAGGCATACGAAATGCTTGAAACCTGCCACAATCGCACCATTGAGAAGGTAAAATGACCCTGTATTCTTGTCTTGGCAGGCCTTCATTGTGGTCGATTGTCTCTTTCACAATGAAGTTGTGGCTGTGTCGGTCAAACCGTGTAACCATGTGAGTGTTGGCTTTAGCACTTTCAGCCTTAATGTATTTCATGCAGCTTTCACTCCATAGTTGTCCTGATTGCAACACCGCATTCCATATTTCACCTCTTTTGGCAAATAACACAACCATCCTAAAATACGTAGATTTTACCAAGGCAGTGATTGGGAGGTTTTGTATGCCCTTGAATACCCCATTCATTGATTCAATAAGATTCGTTGTCATATGCCCCCATCTTTGGCCATTGTCGTATGACCTAGTCCACTTTTCCACCGGAATATTGTCGATCCACCTACCGACTTCTGGATTAGACAAACAGATCTCGTTGCGGTAATATTTGAATGTGGGTTGTGTCAATGCATATCCCGCATTCATAACCGCTTTCCTCAATGTTTTATCCTTGACCTCCCTCAAGAAATTCTGGACGATATGCCTGACGCAATAGACATGCGTAGAAGGAGGGTCATGCCAACCATTTGCTGGATTATTGTAGGCACTTTCAATGGAGGCATGTCTGTCCGAGATCAAACAGAGATCTGGTTGAGGAGCCACGTGTGTCCGAAGATTTTTCAGGAAAAAGCTCCAAGCACCACCGGTCTCCCCCTCGACAAGGGCAAACGCAACGGGGAAAATGTTGTTGTTGCCATCTTGTGCAACTGCCATCAATAGCGTGCCTTTGTACTTCCCATACAACCAAGTCCCGTCAATTTTTAGAATTGGTTTGAATGATGCAAACCCTGTGATGCATGGTTGAAATGCCCAAAACACGCGACTGAATATTCCGTTGCCATGCAGTAGACTACCATCTTGGGCGTACACTGATAATGTTTCCAGAACATAAACACTACCTGGAGAATACGTCTTGAGTGCATTCAGGTAGAGGGGAAGTTCTCGGTATGACTCCTCCCAGTTTCCGTACACCCTTTCAATCGCCTTAGTCTTTGCTAACCACGCCTTACGGTAAGACGGAGTGTAGTTAAAAACCGTGGTGATGTGGGAGATGATTGTTTTCACCTTCAAAGATGGGTCGTTGCTGACCAGGGGTAGGATTTCTTGACAGATTAGATCATAGTTGAGTTTCGGTGGTCCTGTGATTGAGTGGAACTTACACAAGTGTGGGTAGTCATGGAACCTATGACCCAGCAGTCACCCCTTAATCTGTATGATGCGGTCAGCTTGAACATACAGTCAGGGTGGACACACTTGATCTTGTACCTTTCCGGGTTGACACGATACACCTTAAAATCAACCGAGTTGAGCATGTGAAATTTTTTAATGGCCCTGATGCATTCCTCTCTGTTACGAAACTTGTCCTTCTCTTTTAAATTTTCATCCGACTGCATATACAGTTTGAAAAATAAGTCAGTAGAAGGTTCATCTCCGCCCATGTTGAAGTTTGTCATGTGCGGAGGTGGTGTGTAGATTTTGTCTGTAGGAATACTAGGGATGCCATCATCGATTCCCCATCAACAAACCCAAAACTCATCAACCTCCAACCAACCCCCAAGAAGAAACAGACCCACAAACACCCAACCACATTCCCCACCACAACACAACTACAATCAAATGCCGTACTACCAACCACAATCACCACCAAACTACCAATACCCCGATATGCCTCAAACCCAACCACAATACCAACCCCAATACCAGCACACCCACATACCCCACACACAATTTCAGTCTTCCACATATCCCAATATGGCGCCCTCAACATCCAGCCTTAGCCCTGATATGGGAATGTCGGAAGATTATGACCAAGCCGACCAAACCTACCATCACCCACCATATCACCAAACCACCCAACATCCACAATACCAAACACCCCAAGATCCATTTCCTTTCTACCCCCCATACTCAGACGACCAATGCTACCGACCAACCATGGAACCCTACCCACCGCCAACACGACCAAACTTTGAGGGTATGGGTAACCGACTGTACCAGAGCGGATCTTCTAGATATGGAGATCTTACTGATTTTATGGATTCGGACCGCATTGACTTCGATGGGCCATCGACCTTGCCGCAGCAGGAAACGCGACGGCACCCAGCAAGAGAAAGGCGAGGACGGGGATGCGGAACCAGGGGTCATTATCGGGTTCCGGGGGATCACTGATGTATCTTTTTTTTCCAGTATTTTTGTATCCATTTTTTTTACTGTTATTTTAATGTAATACAGTTGGATGTAATTATTTTTTTTAAATAAAAAGTCTATTTTGTTGATCTCTGTCCAATAGGCAATGCACAGGAAAAAAAAAATTTTTTTTGCCCTAAAATTACACTTAGGCGCCATCTCACTTGGTTTAGGGCATGCCCTAAGCACATAGGCGCCAAGTGAGATGGCGCCTCCCTTAGAAAAGGAGGTGCATGCGCCATTTCAGATGGCTCCTCCTTTGGGGAGTCATCTGAAACATGGTTATTTGCGTATTTTTTTCTGAAACCCAGTTATTTGCGAAATATTATTTTAATACTTGGTTATTAATAAAAAAAATTCATAGAATGAAACATCTATTTAAGAGGACTTTGATTTGTAGGCACTGATAGTAAACTGATCCCATCTATTGTGCATATTTTAAGAGAGGTTACTGCAATCGGTAGATAAATTTATACAATATACTTCTATACTTTGGTGCTGAGCTATATACAGTAGTTATTTATCTCCTATCTATTTATGGTGCATATATAAAGATTATCAAAAATAAAAAATTGCACTAATTAGAAAAAAAAGACATATTCTTTACAATTTGGGAAATTACTTTTTATTTTGGATTGATCAAAATAGTCTCACATTATTTAAAAATTGAGGCCAATGAAGTTTATATATAACACCAACTCATTTCAATATAGTGAGACGTCTTTTTTTTAAGGAAAAAGCTAAAAGTAAACAATACTGCAGTGGCACAGATTTAGTCCTGCACTAGTCACAATACAAACATCCTTTTTCACCTTGATTAAATAGTAGAACCATATCACTGTTATTAACAGAAGTTATTCTATGTGCAATTGTAATGACTACAATCAGAAAAATGTTGCCTAAGAGCTTACTGTATAAAATTGTCGGTAGCCATGTCAACTGATACATGATACAGTAACTTCATCTGGTAACTACTACTTTACTTTTCTAAGCAACTCTACCAAGACAACAAAACAACTGTGTCTTACTAGGGAATGAATCGTCTAGCTTTGAGGCAGAAACTGTGCCCTAACTTTGGAGCAATTTCTTTTTCCATCCTATTACTTTTTTTCAAGTTCCTGACGAAATGTAAAAAATGTCTCATATTTTTCAGATACGCAAGAACGCAAAGGCTCAAACGTGAGGATATAATTTTTATGACTTTAATATTGATTAAAATTGTTAGAGTCATTGAAAATGGTGCCAATTTCAATTTAAAACATGTAATAAACGAGATAAGGTGTGTTTTTGGATATGCATCTTTGAATTATCCTTGAAAATAGTGCGTTCGGAGATACATCTCCGAAAATTTTCAAAGGTATTTTTAAATTTTAGGATGTAGGAGAAAGTGACGGGGAGGAAAAAGAAATTCCATATTATTAATCGTCTCATACATCAGACATTTGATAAAATGACATGTTGGAGGATTTAACATGACACCCCCAAGTTAAACATGACACCCTCAATTTTAATTATTTCAGAATTACCCTTGTTGAGATACACACAATTTTCGGACGAAACTTCTGGTAGAGGCTTTAAAATTTCTAGTATAGGAGAAATTTCCGGTACACCTTTGCTAAATTTTCAGTTTATGTAAATTTTTGGTAGTGTATTTGAAATTTATGATATCTCCGAAATTTAAAATTTACTAGGCAGTACCAGAACTTTGAGTTATACTAAAATTTTTGATAGTTCATTTATTCAAGTTTTTTTAACGGTCGAGATTTTGTCAACATATTTGGAGAGTTATGATTGCACCGGCGTCTTTGTGTGGTCTCGAATACATCGTCATTTGTATAAATAAGGGCATGTGTTATAGAGAAAGACATCTTAAAAATGTATCTTCCTCAGTTTTTGATTAAGGCATAAGTGTATTACAACAGATGCAACCCTGTTGTTTAGTTCAAGCTTCCAGATCGCAGCACATCCCTTACCACCCTGAAAGAAACGTTGAATGCATTGCTGCCTGATTCCGATAACAGGAGGGTGACAAAGATCGATTTTCGAAAAGATTGGATTGATACAAATGGAAGGGTGAAATACAACCTGATTGAGTTGAAGACCGATGAAGATGTGAAGGCCATGTGGAAATCATTGCGCCGTAGGATAACTAAAGGTCTGATCGAGTTGGATGCGGAAATACGAAGATCCGTCGACGACATAGTCAAGATGTTGAAACGTCTAGAATCATCTGGTAGTGCCTAGGTTTTCATGTTTAGTTGTTTTTAGTTTTTGTCTGTTGTACTGTTTTATGTTATGTTCATCATCGATTCGAAACATGTAATCGCCAAAATATTATGCAATAAATAAGAAGTTTTGTCAACTATTTACATATAATACAACAAAAATAAAACAGATCTACATAGGCCCTCCACGGACTACGCCGGCTAACCTAGCTAAACCTATATAAATATCACCATCAGGATTTACCAAACCCATGAGGTTATCTAAATGAACTGCAATAAACTATAGGCGGCTGTCCTGATCACCTGCAGGTGGTGGAGGTGGTGGCGGCGGCTCGGCAAAAACCCTAGTTTGTGAAGGTCCCAAAACATCAGATGTTCCAGCCGGTGGTATGACGCGAGGGTGTGATACACTGTGGTACCACTCCAGGTATCCATCCTCGCACCGTGAAGGATGCTGAACCACAACTGATCTCTCCATGATCTCACAGACAGAGCTGATGATGTGACTCTGAAAGCATCTGTCAATGCCACCAGCTGGAGTCTCGGGAACTGGATGAGGGATACCCTGAACCAAATCATATTGTCGTAGACACCTCTCAGGCAAGTGTCTAGTCACATGGTTCTTCCACCTAATATGCCCTGAATACAAAGAAGCGTCGTTAAATGCACGATGAGGCCGGTGAGATGTATATGGTGTCCTGACGACATCCTCTACGGTCAGAGCGTCAAGTCTCCTCCAGTACTCCATTAAACCTCTTGGAAGGGCTTGCTTGGCCTTCCATCTCCTCGCACATGGTACAGTAGCCGGGACACGCTGGATCTTCCAGTGACAGATGTGGGGGAAGTGCTTATATATCCAGCACTGCATAAATAAAAACAATCAAATAAATACACCCAAATAAATAATAAAAACCATCAAATAAATTATAGTATACTTGTAAAAGGCTAAAGTAACCAGCCAGCTGTTTGGTCTCAGGCTGAGTAGCAACTCCAAGTTCCGTGTACAACATGGTCAACGCCGTCACTCCTCAAATCAAACAAGGAGTGTCAAGGGTGTTAAACAGAGACAAGTAACGATCATCGATGTAAACTCTAGACTTGTTCGCAAAGAGAGTACATGCCACCATATGTAGCATGTACGCCCTAGCGGCAACCTGGTACCTATGAGCCTCAACATGCTCCGCGTACCTATCTCTAAGCCAAGATATCCCAAGGTGAAATTCCCGGTTAAATCCAAACTCCTCTAGAACCTTCGTCTCAGATACCTCCAAATCATCCACAACCATGCACATCGTCGTCACATAGTTAATATGAGGAGGTGTGAAGAATGTACCAGCGATCGGGATATGAAACAGGGCGTCGACATCATCCAATGTGACCGTCATCTTCCTAAATGGAAAATGAAAGGATGATATCTCTAGGTGCCACCTCTCAACAAAAGCAGGCAACAGAGAGGCATCCAGCATGGTCAAGGAGCACTGAGCGAACTCCAACAGCTGAAAATATCTAACAATACCACTGACCTCCTCAGATATGTCACCCTCTGGAAAGTTCTTCAACTTCGAACCATAGGAGACGACCTTTAGCACCAGACGCTCCGGTAAGAAGCAAAAATAAAATATTATACATAAACTTTTAAACACATGCAAAAATAAAATATTATACATCAACCAATTAAAATATATACCTCACCATGCCATATCCTGTAAGTGACATGATCAGCAAATCCTGTGAGCACGGACCTTCTGAAGGTCCTCCTGAAAAGACTCCATCAATGTGAACTGATGGGTCCGTAGACGCACGAGTCGTGGTGTCTGTGTCAGTGGAGGACACCTCGTCAATGTGCTCAGCAACAGCGTGCTGAACCTGCTTTATAACCTGCTCAGCTGCCGACTCCACAACCTGCTCGGCAATCGGCTCCACAACCTGCTCAGAAATGGGCTCCACAACCTGCTCAGGAATCAGCTCCACAACAGGCACAACCTCCTCAATAGTCAGCTTAAAAGTTGGCTTAATCACAGACACATCCACATGAGCAGGAGCATGTACCTCTTCGGCAGCAGAAACTCTAACTCCTCGACGGCGGGGTGCAAGGAATTGCACATGCTGCTCAGCCATCAGTTTCCGGTGAGAACCGGTCGGAGGACGTCGTCCAGCCCGTAGCTCGGAAGCATGTGGCTCGTCAGCCCGGGTCTGAGCTTCCGCTCTATCGGCCATCTTGCCTGTAACAGAAACATCATTGCCACCTCACTGAAATAATGAATAAAATGAGGAAAAAAATTAAGAAAATATGAACTACCGGAAATTTAGATATATCTGGTATTTTTCAAAAAAATTTGACCTGCCAAAAATTTTGAAATTTCCGCTACGTGCTGCAAAGCTAAGAAAATTTCAAAATTTCCGGTACAAAAGGTAAATACTAAACTCAGAAATTTCAAAATTTCCGATTAAAATATACTGGATATTTTGAAATTTCCAATACAAAATATCATAAATTACACAAATCCACCGCAAATTCCTTACTATTTCACTAAATTTCCGGTATCGCTCAGTAAATTTAAAAAATAAGGTGTGATACTGGAAATTTGAAATCTTTGAAAAAATTTTAAATTTAGATAATTTAGTCTTCTCATATCCTTTGGGGTGCCCTATCACATACTTGAACTCAGATGCAATAACAGTTTCCTTTTACCTCTCGAACACAAATTCGTTCTCACTGCCAGTCTACAATAAACTTAACTTACATTAATACAAACAAATGTTCACTTTCTTCTATAACAGTTAAGCTTCAGTAATACTTACAAAACATATATTATTCCTATATTTTGTATCCTTCTTTCAAACTTATAACTTCTAGTCTATTTAATTTCTGTTCAGTCTCAGCTCTCAACTTCCAAAACCAGTGTTTGATCTCCTTGTGTATTCTGCAACTAGTTGAGCAAGAGATGAAGATTTGTCCTTAAGCAGCTTCTTTGGAGAATCATATTCCTCAATAAGTCCTGCAGGATCAGTATGAAGAAAAATCATGCTCACATTTATGAGTAAAAAAATAGTAACAAACATGGAAGGAACAACAAGTTCTTACCTTCACTGAGAAACAGAACCATGTCACTATCGAGGATTGAAGTTATTCTATGAGCAATAGTAATGACCGTGCAATTAGAGAAATATTGCTTAACTGTCTGCTGAATAATATTATCTGTTGCTGTATCAACTGATGCAGTAGCCTCGTCAAGCACCAATATCTTGCTTTTCTTAAGTAAAACACGGCCGAGGCAAACTAACTGTCTTTGACCCATGCTCCAGTTTTCTCCATTCTCAGTAACTGCAGATCTCATAATGGATAGAATTGACTTCTAATATGGAATAGAGGGAGTATATATGTGCTTAAAATTTTGAGAAGTCAAACCTGTTGAGTCGAGCTTTCCTTCTTTCTTCCTCACTTCATCTCCTAGTTGGCACATATCTAAAGCCTAAAACATTTCATTAGATATATTAATTTATAAAGCTTGCAGTAAAAGGATCGGTTATTTCTTTAATTCTAGCAAAACCAGTTTACCTCCCAAATTTGTTCATCTGTGTATTCTTCCAGGGGGTCGAGGTTGCTTCTTACAGTCCCTTCAAACATTGTTGGATCCTGAGGAATTATGCTGAGTCTGGACCGTAAATCATGGATTCCAATCAATGAGATGTTGATGTTATCTATCAATATTTGTCCTGCGACAGGTTCAACAAGTCTGAAAAGTGCTTGCACAAGCGTTGACTTTCCACTTCCAGTTCTTCCGACAATGCCAGTTTTTGCTCCAGCGGTGAAAGTGCATTTTAGTCCACGCAAAACAAGAGGCAAGTGAGGAGCATATTGAACCTGTACAATGCATTATTTAACGATAGCTGCAAACTAAAGTACCTTGAGACACTTGTTTGGATAAACAACTAAATTAAGTGTTTATACAAGTAAGGGCTTATCATAAAAGATTAAATAAAGTCAAATTGTAGCTTATGGAAATAAGCTGAGAACAGTTTATGAAATGTTAGAAGTTGTTTCTATAAGCTCTCTCAAATAGCCTTTCAAGTGCTTATGCCAATAAATAAATTTAAATAACTCAACCCAAACAAATCATTGTAAGTAAATATATAAACCAAATGTAACATTAGTGTACTAGTTTAGCAGTGATACACCATTTAAATGTTTTAGAAGAATGCTAAGGTTGTTCATCCAACCATTTCATAAGAACTATATAACATCCATTACATGTGTCAAATCTCATAAAATGCAAGATTTTATAACCTAATGATTCTCTTTTTCATGTGATTTACAAGTGTATAAGATGTTAATCTTGACATATCTCAATGACATGTTAAGTAATTTTAGATCAATGCAAAATTTCAAATATGATCTATATGAAGGTAACTTTTAATCTATCAATAGGTTTTGAAATCATGTAAATTGTTATTGAACGGTGTAGTACCTGCAAATTCTGGATATGAACCTCTCCGAATGATGGCCAAGAATGATCGGGTTGATTGTCTTTTATTACAAGAGGTGCTTCACTTGGGATGGAGGTGTACTGAAGTATTCTTTCTACAGATATAACTTTGTTCTCCAAATTGCAAAGAAACCTGATTAAATTAGATTGTATAGCATTTAGATTAATTCCATATGTCACAGCCAATCCCGCAATACCTGGAAAGGAATGAAGTTTTAAGCCTATGTCAGGATTCAAGATGAGCATGTGTGTCTATTAAATGTATGTAAATAAAAATTGAAATACTCACTAGGATCAGCAATTGAACTTGGAAAAGATACCAAGAAAACCAAGCAGAAGGCAAATATGGTAGAGGATAAAAGATCCAATCTGAAATTCAACCATTGCATTGCACTAACAATGTATAATTTAGGTTGGGAATATTTGTCGATCAATTGCATATTCAATTCAGTAAATCTTGATTCTTGCTCAAAACTTCTTATGGTTGTTGATCCGGATATCGTTTCAGAAAAATGTTGTATAACCGGCGCTTGGCATACACCAGTTAATCGTGCCAATTCTCGTGCTGATGCTGAGTAGTATCGCTGCATATAGTGAAGCATTTTGTTAGTAGGCATAAATAATGCTAATGTGTTCTGTCACTTTTTTCCCACTAGTATAACATTTTTTACTTGTCACTACTCCATTAACAATGGTAATTAAAAAATGTGGAAAACCTTGAAAATATGAGACGGAGTGAGTACCTGGTACCAAATGCAAGCTGCCATGACAGGAATCAATACTATGAACACCTGCCATGCTGCTTGAGACATCACAGCAATACTTCCCAATAGCTGAACCATATTGTAGGTGACACCCCATGCTAGATTTGAGATGTTCATATCTACTGCACTTTGGTCTGACGAGGCCTAAAAAAAAGGGTGAAGTTAAAATTTAATCTGTTTCCAAAATATAAAATTATTGACATGTTATGGCATACTCTATTAAGAATTCTTCCACTTGGGGTGGAATCAAAAAATGACATTGGCGCTCGAATGAAGCTCAAATGCATTTGATTGAAGAGCATGGTGGCGGTCTTGTATCCAGCTATCGCAGCAAGAACGGCTCTGCCAAGGGTGCCAATGGAACTTCCAATAGCCAAAGAAACATAGACAACCATCAGAGTAAAGTTTCCAATATCAGGTTCTTCAGTTGCGGAAACAGGAGTTGCCAAAGCCATCCAATAATTGCTTGCGATTTGTAAAACCACAGTGAGTATCTGTGAAAGCAATAGGAAAGGTACAAGAGCTCCTCCATAAGCTGTTGTTATGTATTTCCAAAACACTTTAAACCCAACACTACCTTTTTCACGTTCTTCCTCTTGAACAAGTTGGCCTTTCGACACAATTGTCTCATCTAACTTGCTGTTTCGATCATCTACATTTTCGATTTCTTGCTCAAGTTCAAAATCACTTAATGAACTTGTGTCTTCTCCGGATGTTTTGAACGTAGGCCTTCTCTCTAAGGACTTAACTGAAGACAACGCTGCTCTATGTGCGCCTACAAGTTCCATAAAATCAGTTCCTGACGTAAGAATGTCGTTGTATTTTCCTGATTGAGTTATCCTTCCTTCTTTCATGACCTAAATGAATTGTAAGAAAGAGAAAAGTACTCAGAAAACAGTAAGCTCTAAGGTTTGATACTTTGAATCAAGGAGCATGATGAAATATATAAAATACTCACAAGTATCAAATCAGCGTCAGGTAAGAACTCTACTTGATGTGTTATGTAGATCACAGTTTTTGTTTTCAAAAGGCCAAGCAAACACTCCTGAAACATTACAGTAGTAGTAAATGTACAGTTATTGAACAACCCACATTCTTGATGTTATAACCGTATATGTTAGAACAGCAACCCTGGTTCAAAAGAAAACAGATATGAAGAACACACTATATTTGATCAATGAGTTCAGCCAATAGTGCCTGTTTCTTTGATAGAAGAGCGGCTGCAGCACCCTTTCTATTATTCGTGTTTAAATACTACTGTCTAGTTTATAAGTTTACCATTGAACCGCTCGAGCTACCTCTCTATGTATGAGAAAAACTAGGTGCAAAACTATACTTTATCTCTCTGCACTGGCTTGGCTTTCTAATAACCTCTTTCTTTGCCTACGCGATGTGTACATGAATAAATATGCTATAGGAGTTTATAGAGAGATCAGAAACATAAAAATTCCAAGAAACTTAGCATTCTCAAAAAGACAACAAGAGAATGTATTGAAGACAGTAGAGCTAAGAAAATAATACCTTAAAGATATGGGATCCTGTATGAGCATCAACGGCACTAAAGGGATCATCGAGAAGATATATATCGGCATCTTGGTAAAGTGCACGCGCTATTTGTACTCTTTGCTTCTGTCCACCACTCAGATTAATTCCCTTCTCTCCAATAATGGTCTGATCACCAAATGGTAAAACCTCTAGGTCTTTCTTCAACGAACATGCTTCTAGAACCTTCTCATACTTTTCCCTATCCATCCCTCTTCCAAACAGTATGTTCTCTTCTATCTTTCCACTCTGTATCCATGGTGATTGAGCAACATAAGCCTTAGTTCCACACACCTTCAAGTTACCAGATATCTTTGGTATTTCACCTATTATACAAGAAAGTAAACTCGACTTGCCTGATCCAACAGTACCACATACAGCAACCCTCATACCATGACTAACTCTGAGGTTTATGTTTTTCAAAGTTGTATTGACAGAGGAAAGATCCCAAGAGAAATTTCCATCAACTATTCCAATTGCTATATCAGAACTACCTCGCGGAAGCTTCTCCACTACATCAGCCTGCAAATCATCTAGACGAAGAAAAGTGACGATCCTATCGAGGGAAACTTTGGTTTGTGCAATCATTGAAATTGTGTCAGGAAGACCATAGATAGGCATTTGGAGAATTCGAAATGTTGCAAGAGCGGATAAGATCTTTCCTGATTCAAGTGGAATCCCTAGAAGAACACAAGCACCGAAAGTGACCACAGCAACAAACGTCGGTGCGTTAAAGAAGAGAAATCTAACAATTGCATTACCAATAAGAAATTTTTTTAGCCATGTCTCCTCTAACTTCCTGAGCTGAATAATCTTTGATAAGAACTTCATCTCCCATGCTTGCAGTTTGAGAATCCTCATGTTCATTAGAACCTCAGACGTCGCCTTCATTCTTTTATCCTTGAACTCCATTAACTTAGCTTGGAACTTCTCTTGCAGTGAAGTCACAGGAAGGTTTAGCAACATCACAATAACAGTTGCAGCAAAAGCGGCCACTGAAGCAACCCCGACACTTCTATGAAGAATAAACAAAGCCAGAGAAATTTGTAGAACAGCCATCCATATATCGTGCATATACCAACAAAACTCACCTATCCTTTGAGCATCAACAGTCATTAAGTTGATGATTCCGCCACTGCTATGTCCCTCTTTTGATTGACCCGACAGTGTCAAACCTTTAGCATAGATCATTGACACCAACATTGCTTGCATCCTAACACCAACCTGTTGAAACTTAAACATCCAGTGCCTTTGCGAAAGACACTCAACAAGCTTTGCCACAACAAATGCCGTAGCCAAAACATAGCCTTGATTTTGAACCTTGTTTTCATCATTGAGATATTGAACAAGATTTTCAATAAGGTAGGGTCCTACATAAGTAGCACATACGTACAAGAATGCAAATAAGCCAGATATAAGAATCTCTTTCCATGTTGATAAGAAGAGCAGCTTGACGAGCTTAATAGTTGCCACAGTCCTAACATTACCACACTCCAACTGAAGCCTTTTTCTAAAAGTAGAAAAAGATCCATAGGCAGTGTCATTGGCAGAAAGAAGAGGAAGGTCTTGATGGTTTAAAGTCTTTTTACTCCCTAATGTTATAAGTGGAGTCATCCATGAGAAAGTAAGAATGCTGAAAAATCCAGCCTTTGAATAAGTGGTTAAAATCTGATTTTCTTCAGAAGCGTTCAAAAGGGACTCTTGAAGAGCATGTTTAGTCATATTGTAAACAGAAAAAGAAACCTGTAATAGAGGAATCAAGCAAACTGTTGTTAGAAACAAAACAACAAGCATAGACCAAATAAGTATCAAATTTGAAAGCAACATGTGAAACACAATTCCTATGCAGTGACCTCTCAAACATGAAAGCAACAAATTTAGTAATAAAATAGAGTGGGAAGGATTCACCTGTGTTCAACCAATTATTCTGATATAGTAGAAACTAAGTTCCAAAGTGAATGAATGATAGAAGAGTAAGAGGTGGTAACCTTTAAAAAAGAAACCACTTGAACAGTAATGGTTGACTTGTTGACTTTACTCTAAACCAAGAGTTCTCTTGTTACTCATACTTTTCTCACATAGTTCACGTGCGTCACGTCACATCTTACATAGGACTAGTTTTTAATTTTTCTTTAGCTGTAGAATTTTTTCTATATTTTTTTATTTTCCTTCTGTCCCACGCAATACTTCAAAGATGGGAAATGATTCCCTCCCGTAACAAGGGAAAAGTGGAAATCCAAACCATTAAATTTCTACCTTTTCACGCTTTTTACATGTTTAACTATTTAATGTGTAGTCCAGATTTCACTGCATACACATTTCAACGGAGAGAATCCTTTCCCTTTAAAGATGAATATATGTAGAAAAATTTGTTCTAAAAATGTGACCTTTAATTTTTAATTCTACCTAGTCCCACAATAATTGGGATAACAAAATGTTTTCCATCGATTGGACATTTCTGTTTTACCCGCATTTTTTCGGGATCAGATTAAAGTTTTTGACCCGCACCTCCTAATATACATGTTCCGTTCCGTTTTTTTGCTTGTGAGTGCAGACATTAATATAAATTTGTGCAATTTTTAGACGTTAAAGGTGCAGTGTCTGTCATGCTCTCATTTTTATGTAGAGTAGGTCAAGATTTTATACTCATTCTCTCAACAAAGACCGCTTTGCCCCACCCTATCTTTGTGAACTTTTATGAGGCGGATCTAAATGAGGCAGACAATGTCCATTCCCCACCCCGTCACAATACCCATTGTTCAAATTTTTTCTTTTCTTATACTAGCAATTTGAGCTAATAAATGGGCCATAACATCTTTGGTCCGTTTGGCATGAATGACTTTAGTGTTTGGGGGTTGCTCTTCACACTTTTAGTGGGGAAAAGTCATCCTTATGAAACCAAAAACCGTCTTTTTCTAATTCGAAAGCATATTTTTGTGCGCACTTAAAATACGCCACATCCCTTCGTAAGTGAGTCACTCATTCTATTTTGCTAAAAAAATAGTTTGAAAGTGTACCTCCATACTGATGGAAGGGTGTGTCTGCATGTGCACTTTCGTAATAACATTTGGACACATTTTGAATTCATGGTAGTGTGTCAATTTCATAACTTAAGGAATAATTCAGAAGTATACTTCTAGACTAACCCTCAAGACAATTAACTTTTATCATAGACAATAAGTTTGTTATAAATTTGACATATTTTAAGAAACCTTATATTTTAGGTCATTTATACTAAGTATACTTGAAATTTTGACACTTTACAAAACATATGTCGAATACAATGTTAAGACATCACATATTAGACAGTTAGCAAAATAAGAAATAATGCAGGAAGTAAGAACACATGTCAATTGTTTATCCAGTCCGGTGCAACCTCACCTACATTTAGGAGCATCCAAGTCAGGAAGGAAACCACTATAATAGTATTAGTTTGAAATTCTAAACAATCTCTGTTTTACAAACTTCTCACCTAATCACTTTCTACCTAGAAACTCCTAGATATGAGACCCCTCTCACTTCCCCTTAGTCACACAACAGTGACAATTACAATAAAGACAATCAAAATAGAAGATACACAACCAATTAAATAGAACGCATTACTGTTTCACGGTTATGAGTGGTTCACAAATTACAACTCAACTAAAGAGTTCAACTCATGTATCAACGAGATACAATAGTGACTCACAACGAACAATGAACAACAAATAGATGAAACCCTAAAGTTTATACTCTCATGTGTAGCTTTGTAATCCTTTAGGTTTAGAATACTTCTATTTATAGCCACAAAAGGGCCCGAGCCTGGATATTAAATTAGGCCAAACAAATATTCTGCAAATCAAATCAAATCAAATCTTCTGGTGCAGAAAAATATATTCTCAATAATGATTTGACATTCTATTTTGAGAACTAAATCTTAAAATATTTCTGACTTGAAACAAATCTTCAGTGATATCCAAATGCACAGCTTGGTCCACAAGGAACAACAATCAAATCTTCAGAATCACAAAAAAACTTCTAAAACTGAAACAACACAGGCTACAATGTTGTACCAACATGTCACGACATCTTGTCCAACATCTTGCTGAACTAGTGGTTTTAACAAAATGCAACCAACAAACTAAAACCTAACAATCTCCCATTTTGGTAATATTTTAGCTAAAATAACCTTTGCACAAAACATCCAAATCAAGAGAGGTAAAAACAAACAACATTACCTTGAATAGAAAATAATGAAAAAAACAAAAAATGAAATAAGAACTACCCAAGTCCACATCAGAGGCATACACATCATACATGATGTCAGAACATCAGGCGTGACGTCTCACACAGCTTTAGAAACAAAACAGAGAAACATAAAATTCTCTAAACAACCAAAAAATTTCCAGACCATATGTCTAGGCAACAAGTGTGACATCAAGCACACAAAACTCCCCCTTAATCTTATATCAACAACAAAACTCCAAAAAAATATGGCAGAATAGAATGCTCCCTCTAAACAGTTGCACACACACACACATACACACACAAAATACTTCCTCTCAAGAGAAGAAATGCAATAAGTGCAACAGCAACACCAAGAAGCAGGACAAAAACCAAACAACCAAACTACTCCTCTTTTTTAGACAAAAATTGACAAAAACAGACATGTTCATCATGAGAAAAAACAACAACTCATCTTATTATAATCTCCACACATTTTCCTCTATCAAAGACCTTCTTGTACTCCTTGCTTATCTTACTAACACAGACCTTAGGAATGATAACCATCATCTCATAACCCTTCGTAAGACCAACAACCTCAATTAGATCTATCCCCTCCTTGTTGCCAAGAACATCCTCTTGAGATTCTTTAGATGACCTAACATTGACCATGACATTTTGTAAAAACTTCCCTAAAATTTTGTGCACCACTAAATGGAGGAAATATGAAGTAACTTTTTCACTCCTCTACAATTGTAGTTGCTATAACTCCTCAAAAGTGAAAATTTCCAATGCACTCCTTAATTTCTCAAACTGATTTCCATCCAAGGCCTTAGTAAATATATCTTCTAGTTGTTTCTTAGTGACCATATGCTCAAGAGACACAATTTTGTCTTCAACAAGATCCCTAATAAAATGATGACGAATGTTAATATGTGTTTTACCCCAAAATTTTCCCTCTCATTTTTCTTCAAGACATTCTCATGAGGTCCTCATTTGCTCAAGGTGACTCAAGAATTGATTAGACAAATTCTCCTTCTAAGCAATGGATCCATAACTAGGGTTTTGTGTTTTTCAAGGAAGATTGAGTTTCAAAGGTCTCAAGTCATTTTCAGGGTTCTCCATAGGTCTTCAAAAATGCTCATGTCAAGTTTCAAGTCTTGCATCACAAGTTTTCTCAGTCAATAGCTCAGATGGCTGAAAATCAACTACATTGGGTAAAAAGTCAACTGTAGTCAACATACAGTCAAACTTCAATATTTTTGGTTAACATCAACATTTTGAAGTGATATTCATCATTTGATCAAGGTTTTATCATGATTCCTTAAGAAAAACCCTCAAATCATCAAAACTCAAAAGTTGTCAAATTAGGGTTTCCTTAGGAGAAGTCAACTGAACTTTGAACAGGTATAACTTTCACATGCTTCATCAACTTTTCCCCAACCAAAGCCCATTTTGAAGGAAATTAAATTCTCTAAACCTTTTTATCTCTATGCTCAAGTACAAAAAGTGCTTCATTTGAGAGATATGAGCCAGTACATTACAGGTCATTTCAAAAGTCAACAAAAAGACACTTTTTGTCAAGGCAACTTACATCAAGATAAAGTCTCCAAGTGTAAAAATGATAAAAATATAAATTGTATAGGACATATTGAGCTTTCCAAAAAGTCAAAGATCACCTTCAAGAGATAAAAATTGAGAGAGTTATGACCAGTACAAGTTGGAAAATTTTGAGAAAATGCATGAAGTGCAAAGTGAATAAACTTGAAGTTTTGAACTAGTGGGATTAATTTTTAGATTTCAACCATGTCCATGACCTTATGGAAGACTCCTAAACTCATTCATGCCTTACCTTATTTTTTATTTATATTTATTTTGTTTTTATTCATTAAATACAAAATAAATTAAATAAAATGCAAGACCATTGGGCCAAGGCGCATGGATGATTTTTGGATCAGTTGGAGGCCCAAGACAACTCATGACAACTTGCCAAAATCGTGTGATTCTATATTAAGAAGGAGATCTTCACAAATTTGGAATTTTTTCAAATGATTTTAGAAGCAAATCAAAACATTGATCCTTTGGATTTCATGCCACTTTTGTTAACCTAAGTTGATTGTCCTATATATACACAAAAGATCATACCAACAAGAGCACGAATGCTTGCCTCCAAAATTGCAAAAAAAAAACATCCAAACTTTTCAAGAAACCCTAGAGCTTCAAAACTCTCGTTACAAGCCTCCTCACTGAGAAATCCCCATTCCATTCACTTCTAGGAATACTGAAGGGTAGGTTTGGATCGGTTACCATGATCCAAAGGACCTGAATCAGCATACATGCACCATCGTGTTTTTCATTATTCCATGATTTTTGAAATATTGTTTTTATTATGTTTTAGCACGTACTAATGC